TCTAAGCTAGTGTTTCTGCTCTCATCCCTGCGAGATCCCATCGGATGGCTATTTTCATGACTTGTTCACATGACTGAAACACAGAAGCAGAGCAAGATTTATTGAAAGTATTCCACGCGTCCTCCTTCAGGTACTTTTGCTCCTTTTGTGAGCAGGGAGTGCATTTTTATTTTGAAAAGAGAAAAAATTGGCAGCAAGTTTGTGGAGATAAGCCTTCCTGTTGTTGACACAAAACAAATTAATGCTTCAGGCTATTTTATGTCTTGATTTGTGGTAGACTTCACATTGACAGGCAAATTAGACTGAGATTAAATAGAAAGTATTTATTTGCCTTATCTTTGGTACGTTCATTTCTGATCTGTTAAAATAAGATTAGTACAGCAAATCTGTTTTATTTAAGCAGATGCTTATCTTCTTTATTTTGAAAATGAAAGCTATTACTTTATTTCATTGCAGCCTTGAGCAGGGCGACATGGGATCTAGAAATATCACTGTGGAAAAGCTCTCAAGAGCCAAAACCCCTTAATAAAATGGAATATTACTAACTTGATTTTTTTAGCATTTCATAGCCACGTTGGTTAATATGTTAATTCTTGTTAGCAACACGTATGACTCTGTTAAGCTTATATCAATAATTTTGCTGTCATGATACATTGCAACACCCTAACCATGGACTCCATTGACCAAGAGCAATTCTAGCAAGCATCCCAAAGATTCTGATTTAACCAAAATTTTCTCATGTTCTTGCACTGCAGTGACCTTGGCCATTGCATTTTTCGGTTAACATGGGACCTTCTGTACATCTGTACTAAGCACATGTACTGCACAATTTACTTAAGTACACTTTTTAAGTCTGTTTTCACTGTTCATGTTTGTCCAAAGATAAAACAACACAATACAGTCAACATTTAAATCGCATGACACTTGTTTTCACACTTCTTACTACAGATTGATAAAAGCTTAAAGTCATTATGACCATAGCATCAGCCTCTGTATAAAACAAACCCCAGCAGAAATCACAGGTGTAAGATTTATCAAGCCACTATCCTCTGAGACACAGAATTATTCTTCTGTTGCGAGGATCCAATTTAAATGACACTGAATTTGTTGAAGCCCCAGGTAAATAGTTCTTGCTTTTGATTACATACACTCCTAAAACTGCATAGGTAATTTCTAGTTTGGATTTGTCTATTTTCAGTTTCCATCTCTTGAAGCTATGGGTTTGTTTGCAATACATAAACTGCTTACTGTTACTAACCTCTTGGAGAAAACGGGTTGAGTTGTTTGTTCTTTTGCTGCAAGCTGTGTTCTCCACACTTCATGTATTGCTTTAGCTCTGGGGTGGAGCATGATGTTTCAGTGTCCTTTTGAAGTGGAAATTGCCAGAACTGCATACTATTTCTCAAAAACTACCTGAAATGCTGCTGATGGTATTCTGCACCAACTTAAAAGGAATGTTTTATTAATATTGTGGATTTATCCTGTTCTTCCATTAACTACAATAGTAATTTGGGTACCAGTTAGAATATCTTCCATGGATATGGCAACCTTTTCTTTTATAGATTAAGGGGTGTAGAAAAAAGCTATTCCAGTCTTCTGGAGGTGACTTTTCACTCTAGACAGAGGGAGACTAACTGCTTGCGTTAAATGATTGAGACTCTGTGAACACTTCCCCTCACTCCTCTCTGTGCATGCACCTTCTGCACTGGAAAACTCAAGTCTTATGCCTCTGATTTTTTGTTGAGAGAATTAGGAATGCATTGAACATAGCATGCTCTGTGCCCTACAAGGAAGACGTTCTAACACACCGGAAACAAGTCTCTAAAATTTAAGAAAGGGCATTAATTGGTTTTGCAGAGCGTTGGACCCTTTTCCAAGAGCATACTGACCCAGATGCATGGTGTTAAGGAAGAGTAGGAGGCAGCTGGAAAGGGTGGGAGATGGCATATTCTTCATGCTCCTGTGATTTGGTGGAAAGTGCCACAGGGATTAAGCCATAACAACTGGCTGACATTCCAGGTGTATGACCTAGGGAAGCTTCAGCTTTGTGTATTTTTTAATTTTGGTGTCTTGTACCACCTTTTTCTTGTCTGCTGTGGTAGCCAGCATGGAAGTTTGGAGCTGTGCTCTACCTCTGGGTGTGCCTGAGGTAATGAAGGAGATCATGGTCTAGCACTGGGAGTCGTCTTCAGGCCAAGCCACTCTGTCTTTCTGGAAGGAGATTGAGTCTGTCTTCCCAGTAGCTGAAGAAAGCAGTGCAATACCAGGCTGCTTCTGGCTGGTTGATGGAAGACCATCAGAGGCTTCTTCCATACCACACTCTTCTGTGCATAAACCCCAAATGCCCCCTCCAAAATCTCCCTTAAGCAAAATGACATTCTGTGCTGTTCCTGTGACACCGCTCTGACCACTGTCAGCCTAGTGGTAGTGCAGGGACTGAGCCTGTGCCTAAGCCTGGTATCAGGATCCAAAGAATTGGAAGAGCTCCCCTGTGCCATTTGAACAATTCTCTGGGTCAGTTTGCAGAAACAAGCACATGTGTTGGGCCGAACCACCATTGCTCGATCACTTCTGTCTGTCTCCCTATCCTTGAACCATCTGAAGTTGGAGAATAAAGCAAAGGAAACTGGAAAACAATCATGAAAATATCAAATACTACTTTGCCAAAGGATAGTCTTCATTCACATGGAAAGGAGTTGGCTATTTAACTGGACGCAAATCCCTTTTAACTGTTTAAATTTCCATAGCAACTGGACTCTGCCTCTTGGTGCCTGCATTCCTCTTTTACAAGGAAATACGAAGCACCTATGTAAAGTGCACTGAGAAACAAAGGCAAGTGTCATTTTGTCTTAAAATAGTCTCTTCAAGACTTGCTGTCTAAATAGACCCGTGTTTCTGTCTTCAGGAATAATTTAATCCAGCAGTATGGCCAAGAGCCAACAGAGAAAATTCTCTGCTGCTTTTGTTCCAAAGTTTGGGGTTAATAGAAAAAAACATCGTCAGCTGCACAATGGATGAATTTGCCCATTTCCAGCTTTGCAGTGGGGCAAGGAAAGCATGTCAGGTATCTTGGAGACCGGAATAATGTCCATCTCTTTCCTTTTAATAGCATCGTAAAGAAATATTGCATTACATTTTTAACTAGTTCACTGTTCCAGGTCCGATCTACTATATTTTAGTTAGAGCTCAACATTCGTACTGCTTTCTAGAATCTGTCCTTTAATGGAATTTATGCAGTTGTGGTCTGTGATCGCTGTTTCCTAAAGAAAGCAGCAAGGGTGAAATCACACAGATGAGAGCCCCACTGTTCCTGAGACAGAGGCCTATTTTTCCCTTTCCCTCCTCCCCAGACCTCACCCGTGCCAGCTCACTTGCAGCCCGTGCAACTGCAGCTCTCTTGCAGGAGCCGTAGACAAGAGGGGTCTTTATTCTTACTGACGGCAATGTTTCGTTTGCTCCCCGAAGCGTCAAAACTCAAACGTGAAAAGTCTTGTTTGTTGATTAGGTTTGCTGTGTGCGATGGGGAAGCCCTGTGTCTGTACAGCGGGCATAAGCAAGGGGCAGAGAACGCGTTTCTGCATCGGTCAGTGGTCAGACAGTTCCGGCAGGTGCCGGCAATATTTCCAGTCTGCTAAGGTGGAGGCTTGAGAGGAGAATTGCTGCATTTATTTCTGATAGAAACAAATCAGACCAGTGTTTTCTGTGGATCTCTCGTGTTAAAGACAACCTCTTTACCCAAGGACCAGGTGATATCACCCTTAGACTTAAACCCATCATTACAGGTGAGTGTGAAAACCAGCTTTTTTGATGAGCATCAGCTCCTCTCATGCTGGCTCAGCCGCCTGCTTACCTGACCACAGGCAACGTGAGAAATGCTGACATGAAAGGCCCAAACACGAGCAAGCAGCCTGCTTCAGCGTGCTGTGGCCCAGCACAAAACCTCGGAACTCGCAGTGGTTTGGGGAAGGATGGCCTGCAAGGGCCTTGTATTTCTCCGTTTCTTTCCTTTGTTCTTGTTTACAGCAAATCAGCATTTTAAATGTGTTTTTTCTTTTCTATTCCTCTAGGCAGTAGTAGCTATCAAAGTGTGAGAAGTGATGTGTTGCGATAGTTCAGCCCTCAGACAACTATTCAGTGATAAACTATTTGAAAATGCCACCTCTGACGTTATGTCTGGAACCCCCTTTGTGAGGGTCAACAACTCCTCCGACAGCTCCCCCGTCATCGCCGTCATGAAACCGGAGTTGGGTTTTATTTTCCTCAGCCTCTACGAGCTGTGCAGGTGACCATTAAGCTCTCCTCCTCCAGCTCTCAGCAGGAGCGTTTCCAGTTTCTCCAAGGTATTCCCGAGTACGGAACACGGCCTGGGCTCGGGAAGCCCGCAGCGCCCGTCCTCCGCCCTCCCCTCAGCCCGCCGCCACCGCCT